AATGATGAATCCCATGATGAGACCGTTTGTATGGTTAATGTGTAATTAGGTACCTGAGTAAATCATCGATGATGATAAAGATTATGATAAAGAGATCTCAATTAACCATATCAGTATGGGTAAAAATATGGAACCAAAGAGAATATAGATTGTCGAGAATAAATAAGAAAAAGCGCTATATAAATGATGATCATTAATCTATCTCTATGTATGAGGGTAGAGTGAATTGATTAGACAAAGAGTGAATGAGGCAATCAATTCGATATAAAACTCATTAGAAAAATGATAAAATTTTCTCCATATAATGAAATGGAAAGCTGACCATGAGGTATGAAAAACGGCTTGTCCAAGGTCACTGAAGAAAATTTATAATAGATTCAGTATATTGACATGTCTGGCAAGACATAAATGACTTGAGTTGCATCTTGATATATAGTAGTCCTAGAGAATTAATGATGTTCTCGGGAACGATAAAACTCTAGAAGATTTACAATAAGCCGTATATAAGGTATCTGAAACCGGTAACTAGTGATATGTTTATGGTGTGGTTTGCCGACTTTCCTTTTAATGAGGATGAATTTCCAGACTAAGGGGGAGGAATTATAGAAATTCATAAAGAGATTACAAGGTGTATACAGTTGTTGTTACACCTTGATCCCTCTACAAATTAAAGAAAGCTGAAAGTTCAGAAAATTATGCATTTGCATAATTTGGCAAACTAGTTAGCAGATGTGTTCACAGATATGAGAAAGGTGACAAAATCAGATATACCCATTGAAAATGTTCCATCAAGAGTTGTTGTTCCTTAAAAAAAAACTAATGGAAACAATATGAATGAACCTAGGGTTCAGTTAGAGAGGAGGAGATCAACGGGTTCTAAAGATAAAAATCCCAGAAAGATAAAAAATTGGTTGAGCAAACTGGAAAGGTTTTAGAAGAACTTGATACTAAGAAATGTCTAAAAGAAGACAGAAATGAAAAGGTTCCAGGAGAACCTGTTACTGAAAGATGTATGAAAGAAGACATAAATGAAAAGGTTTAAAAAGAACCAAATAAATATAAGGATCCAGATGACGAGAAGGAACATAAAAGTATGAGATTTCCATCAACTACATCCGTGATGAAAAATAAGAAGATAAAAGATATTGATGGAATGTTCTTTTTTCTATGTCTTAAAGATCGATCATGAAAATGTTCCTAACCACCTCCTCCATCAGCTCTACACAACCCACCGGAGAGCTGATTACAAATCTTACATGTCAGAGAGCCAATTACAACGAAGTAGATATGATGAAGTCAAGCCCATCAATGTGGAATTCAGTGGATGCCTGATTTATTGTAGAGGAAAAACAATTACGGAAAAAAAAAAAGAGAAAAAAAAGCTGAGTCAGGTGTCTCCTTGTTGTGTAGTTGAACTACGAAACTGTGGTTTAGTTAGGCTTAAGGGTTTTTGTGTCTTTACTCATACATAATGTGTGTCTAATATCAATGTGTCCTCAGCAGTAATTGATAACTGATAAAGTGTCTGGAGAGGTAAAAATCTCAGATCTAAAGTCAGAACCGATTCAAAAAATTTGTCAGGATCGAGTCCAATGTATAAATTTTACCTTATTAGTTTTCATACTTAGATTTGTGGGTTTTAGTCAGGTTTTGTTTTCTATCCGAAATCCAATTGGGTATCTGAATAATCCAAAAGTCTTTATATATATTGGGATTTATTTTATCTTTCCAAGTACATTTACAATTGTTTCTTACAAAAAAAAAGAAATTTAGGCTGTTGTATTCGGAAATCGTTTTGGTTTTTAAGATAAAATTTTAAAATTTTATATAAGTTAGTTCCACTCAGGAATTCGAATATATTTCAAGTCTTTGAGTATACTAGGTAATTACCCGCTCTACGTTGCAAGCTGAATTAATACAAACTGATTTTTACTTGTAAATTTATGTTATTTTATTAACAAGAAAAATACTAAATTGTTTATTTAAAATCAAAATTATTTTAATTATAGATTTAAAATATAAATTATTTGAAATTGTAAAATGTTTGAAGATATTTTAATAAATCATTTTACATTTTAAATCTCTAAATGATTTATAATATTCAAATATTATATTTAATAGAAGAATCAAATGAAAATAGAATGTTATCCTAAATAGAAGAATCAAATGAAAATGGAATGTTATCATAAATAGAAGAAGCAAATGAAAATAGAATGTTATCATAATAGTGATTAAAAATTATTTATTTATGAATGCAACTATTTTTTTAATTTTAAGAAAACCTTTTTGAACTCAATTTAATATATATTCAAGAACTTCTCTCCTCTATTTGTTTTCTACTTCAAATTTCATTAATATATAGATATAAATAAATAAAATACTGAACTTATAGAAAATCTCTATATGTTTGATTTAAAATGTTAATATTACCAATCTATAGAAAATTTTACTTAAAAATAATTTTAATTTTTGGAATTAGAACAAAACAAATTCAGAACTTCAGTTGACAAAGGAAAATCAGAAATGGAAACTTTGAACCCAAAAAAAAATATGAGAAATAATTTATATTTTTAGTAATTATATTTACTAATAGAGTTGGAAATATTATAAGATTTAAATAATACACATTAAGTATTCTCTCTAAACAAAATTTGTAATTCGAACAGTTCATCTTGTGGTAAAAAAAAACACACCTTCACAGGAAACGTCCAATCTGAACAAAAAAACAGAAAAAATATGATATCAGCAACTTTGAAATCAATATATATGAAACGAAGTTTAATAAATAAGTTTTTTTAATAAGCAACTTCACCTAAATTCGCTCATGGGAAAACTGGAAATCCCATTGATCTTAGCACTTTTGTGAAGATGAAGCTGTTTGACAATGCCTAGAAAATTGCAGTCGGGTTGTTCTAGAGATGAGTGTAAGGGATTACCGTGGTTATGGAATGCTGCTCTTTTCAAATTGAGGTTGGTGATGAATGCGTTGTTGGACAGTTTGACGAAATATGTGACAGCTACTTCATCTACAAGGAAATATTATGTTTCATTGATTATATGATTTTTTTTGTAAATTTTGATTAGACATAGTATCATCTTGTAGGTTTCTATGTCTACATAATGCAACACATATATTATTAATATTTATATATTTCGTTTCTATGCTATGTATTATGTCTAATTTAAAATTACCATTCTTTTAAGAAACTGACATGGCTGTGGTTTCAAAACTTAAAGAGATCATGAGGAAATCATACTTTATTAAGCAAACAATGCTACGGATCTCTCACTATCTTTTTCACATCAGTAGATATCACTTTTTTTTGCTGCAGTTTGCAAGAACCATCTTCACCAGTCTATATCTATCCAATGCGTTTATTCACAGCATGTCAGAGTCAATATTTGGTTCTGTAATAAGTTTTTACTTGGTGGAAACTGAGTCTAACACACACATTTTGTGGCTGGTTGTGAAGGATAGTCCATCCACTAAAAATATGAGAAACTGATCTTCTACAAACGATAGTGCGCCATGCTCTGTTTATAGACGGTGCTTACTCAAGTATCTAAAGCAAATATGAGAATGTGAACTTGTACTACACATTTGTCCTCTCAAAGAAGACTAAAAGTTTTCTAGAGATTGATCAATAAGTCCAAAGTTCAAATATTTTAATGGTTTTCTAACCACTAAAGCTACTAACCATTCTAACAATCAAACAAGGTGATAACAACAAAAAGAAGTAAGGCATCTACCTCTTGTGACTCTCTGGTACGACCAGACTCTCCATTGAAAATATTTTGAGATACTTCAAACAATATTAGGTTCGTCAACACCAAGCATCCAAACAATATTCGGTTTGTTGGTTTCTGGCATAGGCTTCTTTAGTCGGAAAGGGTTGTTAACGGAGAAGAGACTTGAAAAGTCGGAACTTTCGCCAGCCTCAGCCACCTAATTGGAGAATAGAGTGGTGAAGATCTCTGACTGGGTCTGAAGTTAATCTTCTTTGTTGTCTTCTTTCCCATACTCATTCGATTTCAAAGCGAGAGAGGAAGAGAGAGATCGATCAAATCGAAAGAGGAAGAGAGAGATCGATCAAATTGAAAGAGGATGAGAGAGAGCGAAGAACCCATCTGATTGTTAATGTTTCTGATCGTAAAACTTTGACAAGTGAATGTGGTGATACAAACGAAGAAGAAGGGTAAAGCACAAGACAAAGGTGACGTGGAGAGACAAAATGTTTTGATTGGTTCATAGTTTTTTTTATTTATTGACATGGTAATTTCATAAGCTTTTTAAAATCTGATGTGTCATGCTCTGTAGAATCTTATGCTTTTATTGTGTTGATTTCCAATCGCAAATCTTTGACAAGTGAACGTGGTGATACAAACGAAGGACAAAAAGTAAGCATAATACAAAAGTGACGTGGAGAGACAAAATGTTTTGATTGGCTTTCACAGTTTTATTTATTTATTGACATGGTATTTTCACAAACATTTTAAAATCTGATGAGAGAACTTTATACTTTTATTATGTTGATTTCTAGTATTAACAATTAAGTATCCAAACCGAACCATACCCAAACATTTTTTTTTGTATTAAACAATTTTGAAAATTGAGATCTGAACCAACCAAACCTGTTGACAAAAAAAACCAACCAAAACCAAACCGAAATTTTATAGATAACTAATATAGTCAAATAATGTCTAAGGGATTTTGTTTATCTTTTTTTTTGACGACATGAATTTTGTTTATCTTAATCATAACAACATGGATGAGAGCGTGGATGCTCTTAACTCAAAAAATTAGAAGCATTAATTGCTTCCGGCAACGTAAGGAAAAAAAGTTGGAAGATTCATATACATTTAGAAACAAATTAAATTTTCTTCATGGCGCTACGGACGTTCCATTTCACAATAAAACAAGTTGATGAGTCTTTTTACTTCCTGTTTGTGTTTTCCTTCTTCCTCTTCACATGGACCTCTACTCCCTCTTTATTACCTCCTCAAGAGGATGCGCAGTATTTAGACCTCTCACCATTCCCATATTTGTTGAAAGATGGATCGCTTTGTATCTCCTAAAACAGGTGTAAAAGAAGAAGTGGTTTAGAAATCAAAGACATGTTTCATATAACAATCTGAAGAGACAATAGACTCATTTACTTGGATTGAAGTCGTGGATGCTACACTATCAGTTCGGCTGTTAATGTTATTCTGACAGTGACAGCAGTTCGGTAAAGACCGCATGATAGACATGCTTTCTTCTGCTAAATCCATGAGTCTTTTAAGCTCAGGCAACACATCCTTTCCCAAGTTAGGTCTGTCTTTCCGCCTTAACTCTGAGCATTGTAAACCAATTTTTGCTAAAACTAATGCCTCTTCAAGTGGCCAGTCAGGAACATTAGGATCTAGTATCTCAGCGAACGTCCCTTCTTCAATTGCCTTTTGGACTTTGTGTGTCAAGCTCATTGGTGGCTTCGCTGTAAGTATTTGCAAGAGCGTGATCCCGAATGAGTATATGTCTGATTTAGTTCCAAGCATACCCGTTTGTTGATACTCAGGATCAATATAAGACAAGGTTCCAGCAGTTGACGTCACTCTATACTGTGTTACGGTATCAGAGACTGAGGGAGGGACTAGCCTAGCAAGACCGACGTCAGCGATCTTGCTGACCATATGCTGGTTAAGTAATATGTTAGCTGGTTTCAGGTCACGGTGCACGAGTGGCTCTGGTTTCATCTGGTGAAGGAAATTAAGACTAGTGGCGATTTCAGCTGCAATGCGGAACCTTAGCTGCCATGACAGAACTGGAGAGTTTCCTCGTTTGAGGAGACAGTCTTCTAAGCTACCGTTTTCAAGGTATTCATAGACTAAACAACCGTAATCTGAGCAGGCTCCTAGCAAGAGAACCAGGTTTGGATGTCTTATGCAGGTAAGGACTTCCACTTCTTGCTGGAATTGTGATCTTCCTTGTGTTGCGTCCGGTCTCAAGACTTTTATGGCCACTTTTGTGTAATCTAAAGTACCCTTGTAAACAGGTCCGTAACCTCCTTCTCCAATCTTGTTAGTTATTAAGAAATTTTCTGTTGCTTGTTCAATCTCATCAATTGTATATTCCCTATACCTTCTATCACTCTTGCCTAAAGAAGACATGGCTCTGTTGTTATCTTCTGTTTTTCTCAGAAATGCCGTTTCGATTTGGTTTCTCTTCTGTGCTTCTATTTCTGCTATTCTATTAGCGGTCGCTACTGCATCCATTGCTGCTCTGGTCTTTGCCTTCTCATTCTCTGCCATTGCCATGGCCGCTTCCTTGGCAAGTCTTGCTTCTTCTAACTTATGTTGCCTCTCTACTTTCCCTTTCTGTAACTCATTTCTCTGCCAAGACGAGCAGATTCAAATCTCATTGTCATGAAAGTTAAATGATTAATTATTTCAAGTACATATAATATGTTATACCGTTTTCTTGGCTTTGATTGCTTCTTTACAGGCAGTTCTATACATTTCCATAGTATGCCTGAGCTCCATTTTCAATCTTCTCATCTCAGCTTCTACATCATCCTGTAAGATTTATGACCAAAATCCATATTTCCAGTTGTCATTTTAAATTTCCAAGCTCAAATTTTAATTTGCAGTTTTTAAATTTTAGATTTTCAAATTTCAATTCAAATTATCCCAAGTTATACAATTTGTCTTAGTTATCGTATGTTATACCAAATTGTACTACTATCCATGTAAAACTCAATAAAACTAGATCGTTTTACCAAGTTGTACATGGACAATGGTAAAACTAGAACTTTAGTTATCCCAAGTTGTAAGTAGGTTTTATTCGAACTGACAATAATTTTTTTTTAAACAAAATTTGCTATTAACAATGAATAGAAAACAAATAAATTATTAGATCAGAGGAGTATTTGAGATTATTTTTCCAGTTAAGAGATTATATGAGCATTTGATCCACGATATATAGAGTAATTAAATGATTAAGCTTGTGGGGATACTCTTCTTTACCTGGAGTGACCACGTGGAGAGTCTCTCACTTTCGTGAGAGCTTGAAGAGAATGCAGAATATGAAGAACCCAAGTCTACGGATTGCTTCTCTGATGAGCCTGATGATGTGGCAAAGCTGCATCGGTTGTCTTCGAACTCAGAGTAAATAGAGTTGACGCTTGGCCTACCACTACTCACAAGCGATATGTCGGAGTCTGTTACTGAGGCCTGGTCAAATCCTCTTTGAGACCTATATATTCAAATTATTATTACTCAGTTTTGTGCAACATAATATGAATATAATGACAACAAGTACGTTGATGTATACGGAACATACTTATACTTGATCTCGATCTCGTCCTGTGTTCTCTGTTGGCCCATTGAGTTGTTACTAGGCCGAGCTGTTATTTGTGGTATTGTGCAAAGTGGAGGAGGTGAAGACGTAGCTGATCTAACTGAGGATATTTTACCTCCAGATATTGCATAAACCGTGCAGAAATTAGCTGCTCCTTTCATCACCATGCTGGTAACATCTGCCGCTTTGAACCGTCTATTGAAACACAAGATTAATTACAACACTAAGAAACTATTTTTGTGTTGATAAAGAAGAGCATGAAGAAATCTTGCATACTTCAACAGAGTCATCTTGGATGCACCCATTACTAGAATATCAATTGCATTCTGTTGGACATAGTCTATGATTCCTTTAGCTGCATCCACATCCTCCAATACCGCATCTTCACATTTTATCTGTTAACAATGCTCCCAATCTTCAACATTCTGACCATATTACGTCTATCTCTACGAATTTATAATCATGAAAAGAACTAAGTACTAACCTAGCTAGGTGATATTCATATTAAATACTTTCTAGGTGATAATTAACTACTAAAAACGATGAAGAGAGGCAAAAAAAACTCACGTCTTTTCTGGTGCAGAAGCAGCGGAATGGAAGGAACAATTCCTTGACGTCATCACTAGACTTATTGGTGTTGGCTGCAGGATCAACGCCATTGAATCAACGTTAGTGATACAACATAATTTGAAAACCAAAATTTGATTGAAGGAAAATGAGCATTTGAGCAGTAGTACCATTTATAGCTAGAGTTTGTTTGAGTTTGACATGAACAAGAGTAATAGTCTCTCCCGAGGTTACAAGATTATCAACAGCCCATTTCAGTGCAGCCTGACTTCCTTTGTCTCGATCAATCGCAACCACAACCCTTTCGTCTCTTCTCTCGCTTCCTACCATCTCTACAATTTCCTTTTGCAACTAACAAGATAATAAAAAAAAATTTGTTTAAAAATGAAACATTTTGGTTTTCAAAAGCCGTTGGAATATATGCTAATTTTAGCACAAAAAACATATAAACAAGTCTTTCTGTTATTCTTCTGTTTTCCTTTCCCCGTGTTCTTTAAGTTTTATTTTGGTGATATATAGTTTTTTTTATAACTGAAGTAATATCTCGCATGTCTCTAGCTGTCTTTCGGCAACCATCAACTGGACTAAAATTATGCACATCTGTACCACTCGACTTCTCTCTTTTTTCCTAATTTTAATGCACAAAGTATTCGCACGTATTATTGTTTTTTTAATAAATAAAAACGAATGTACTAAATGAAACGAGATCATATTCGAGTTATTTTCAATCTAGGGCGGTTTCTAGTCCCCCTATATATTAAAAGAGAAGTCACTTTAATGAATTTTACTTACGTGTCATTCATAGGTGCAATGTATAATTAATTCTCTTAATTTGATTGATTGCTGGCATTTGAATTTTTATTTATTTAATTAAAGTTTTTTAAAAGGAAACTAATCCTAGAATTACCTAATGTAATATATATTACCAAACAAACAATTAACCATCTTAAATACATAGGATTAATAGAGTTTGTTTATAGAAACAATTAAATATCACATATTTCATTATAAAAATTTAGAATATACATATAAATACATATTATATTATAGAAATAAGTATATAAACGATTTTAAATTTTTTTCTATTAATAGTGGATAAAATATCATACATTACAGAAAACTAATAATATTTTTATACTCACTCACTATATATATATATATATATGTATTCTTAAAATATGTTCAATGAATGCAAAACAGTCAAATGTAAAATTTTAAAAAAATTCCATCATTTTCCAGAGATAATGTCGATAGTATAGTTGAGTTATCACTTTCAAAAATTATTTAAGTATTTTTATATTTAAAACAGAAATTATATGGTATGTCATTTTAAAAAATATGAATAAATTAAAAAGTTTATTATAATATAAAATTACAAAAAATCAAAACATTATATTACTACAAGACTAGAGTTAATATTCTATTCATATAATTCATATAGCTTTAAGTATAATAAAATTGACATGTTTATTTTTAATAAGAAAAAAATAGACATAAATAAAAAAATGAGTGAATAATAATAAAACCTTTTGTTGTATTCTTCGTTATTTTGTATTTGTACATACATAATTTTTTATTTGTATACCAAAATATTTTTTACGTATTAAAATAATTGTAAACTAATTATTTTTAGGTGTTTATACAACATAAAGAAAAATTGAGCAAGGAAGATAAATATAAATGATAAGTTATAAAATTGTTAATGTTGAAGATGTAAAATATAATGCAACTTAAATTTAAAATAAATTATTTTAAAATAATGATAAATATTTTTTGCTGTGTAATAAACTTTTAAAATATATGATAACAAAGTTATAACAAAATTTATACAACTAGAAACATGTTATTTTGATCTATTAAAACTATTGAGTCTCATGTTTATATTAATCTATGTCTAAAATAATGACTTCACATCATTTAAGAATTAAGATATTATATGTTATATAATTATTTAATCAAATTTACTTTTTTGAAATACAGTTATTTAGATTTACTTAAAATATGTATGTAATGAAGTAATTAAAAAAAAAATTAATAATAAAATATTTATTTTTCAATGAAAATCTTGGTCAAAGGAATCAGTGTTTGATAAGATAGTGTGAAGATTGGAGAGAATTTGATAATGAATTTTTTTTGTTAGTGCAATTGTGATTTTATATTAAAATGTAAATAAAAAAAATATGTAAGAAAGAGAGAAAGAGAGGGAGATATGGTGATGATAAGGATTAGAGAGTCGGTTATGATCATAATGAAGATGAAAGTAAATATAAGTGAGAGACTGAATATAAGTGAGATAGATTCTGAAATCATTTATTAATACTATGTGAAAGTGTTTTGAATATTTAACAAAATCTGGTGAAAATTTTGCAACCAAAGAGAGATAGAAAGAGTTTTAAAGTGAAATATTGATGATCATATTAATGACGAGGGTATGAGAATGAATATAGGTGATTGTGAAAGAGTGAATGTAAATTTGAGAGATTTTGAAATTATTTGATCAACTAAGAGAGAGAGAAAAAGAAAAAGAGAGCGAGAGAGGTGTGCAAAGACATACAAAAATAATGCAAAGAGAGTGTTGCGGCAGCAAAACAAATCTGACTGAGTGACCTTTAAAACAGACCATGACGGTGTAGGCGGGACGGCAAGCACATGCTCCAGATGTGGTGGAAAGTTTATGATAATGTAAAAAGTAAACTTTGATAATTTTTGATTTTTTTGTAATATGTATTTGGTTTTAGATGTCCAATTCCGAGAAAAAAAGAAAGATGACTAATTTTCAGAATTTGTAGGACCCTTTTAGTTTAGTTTGTGACTTAAATTAACAAAAACTATCTTGGTAGTTGTAACTGTTCTATATTGATAATAAAAAATTAAAACTGCCATACAGTGATATATTTTCATCATATTCTTCTTTTCAAACTTTCCTTCAAGATCCTTTAAGCCATTATTGGAGATTAGCTTTGCTCCCTAGTCCCTCCTCAAACTCATCAATACAATCAATTCGGTCCATTATTATCAACGAGTTCGTGGCTCAAAGGGAAACAAATCAGCATACAGAAAACAAAGTCGACATAAGGAAAAAGAAATGATTAGCCATTCTTGTATAAATATGATAGAGAAGTCATCGGAAAACGACATTCACAATTCACTTCCAACACGAGATTATATATATTATCCTTTTTAACTGAATATATTAAAGGTTTAAACAGCTTAAGTGATTACAACCGGAGTTAATCTAAACGGTAAGAAGATAACAAATAGAGTTATATTCGACGGTAAGATGATCAATAGATGCAGTACAATAAAACATAAGATAAAAATGTTAAAAGGAGAGGTGTGCTCAGCATTAAAAAAACCTGTTGATAATTTTCACTTGCATCCCTAAAACTGATGCTCTAACGAATTTGCAATAGTTGAAATCGAAGTTGATGGATTCAAATGAATGGATCTGAAAGGGGACATAAAAGCCCATTGAAAAGCTAGATTTGGCTAAACAACGTATTAAACGAGCAGATCTGACCCCGTTAATGCTCTCCGGAGAGACTAGGTGAATCTCAACAGAACTGGAGAGAAGCTTACTTAGTGAGACAGACTATTTTCATCTCCAAGTCCATAGATGCATTTGACTCTAACAATTGTGATCTGGAAAAATCACCAGAGGGAGCTGTTATAGGAGACCATATGATTTTTTATTGGGTAAAAAATTGAGCTAGAGCCCATACTTAGTTAAAAACCTTAGCCCAAATAGTAATTTATGGTTGGCGATGAATTTGACCGGAGAAGAATGATACCCCGGAAAGCTGATAGGTGGTGGTATAAGACGACGCGACGGGGAGACCACGTTTTGTCCAGGGTCACTCGAACCGGAGGAGGCGTAGGCGTAGGCGGTGGTAGATCTTGTTAATCTTGTACCAACCGCTTGTGTTACACAACGAGTTTGAGAGAAAGAATAAGATGGATGTTACAGGCTTATTTCAGATGGTTACGAAATGATGTAACTTATCTGAAATGCTTTTTATTATTGAGATTCTTGTGTTGATGTTACATCAAATGATTGATCTTTATATAGAGATCAAATCATTAGGCTAAGAGACACACCTCTTAACATCAAGAGTTACATCTCTTTGTGTAATAACATAAATAACTAACTTATAAATGTATCAAAGAGAGATTAGATTATATAGTTTAACACTCCTACTTAATCATATATCGACTTAACTCCAAGCTGCTTCCTTAGATCTTCAAATCTTGAATCGCCCAATGTCTTTGTGAGAATGTCTGCGAGTTGATCATCCCCTTTGCAATACTTCAGTTCAATGATTCCCTTTTGCTCAGCTTCCCTCACGAAATGGTACTTGATCTCTATGTGCTTCGTCCTTTTGTGTTGCACTGGATTCTTCCCAATTGCTATTGCTGATTTGTTGTCACATAAGATCGGAATGCCTCCTTCAAACTTCTTTCCAAAGTCTTCAAATAGTATTTGTAACCACACTGCTTGATTTGCTGCTGCACACACGGCTATGTACTCCGCTTCAGCTGTTGATTAAGCCACGGTTTGTTTCTTGCTTGACTGCCAACAGAACATGGCTGATCCAAGAGTAAACACATAACCTAATGTGATTTTCTTGTCTTCCTTAGAACCACCCCTATCGCTGTCCGAGTAGCCTACAAGTTTTGGTTCTTTCACGCTTGTGAAGTACACTCCACAGTTTGATGTTCCTTTGACATATCTTAACACCCTCTTGGCTTCTTGGTAGTGCTTCATGCGAGGTGATGACATGTATCTTGAGAGATAGGCGCTTGCATACATCACATCAGGTCTTGATGCTCACAAGTACAAAAGCCCTCCAACGATGCTTCTATACTTAGTCGGATCTCCATACTCCTTGTCATCTTCAACTCCTTTTCCTTGTGGTGTAAGTGGGTTGCTTACACTCTTGCTGTCTCGCATCCCAAACTTGTCTACAAGTTTGTTTGCATACTTTTCTTGTGAAAGAAATATGCCTCCATCGTCTTGAATTACTCTCATTCCAAGAAAGTAGTTCAACAATCCAAGATCCACTGTCTCAAATTCTTTCTTCATGTTCTCTTTGAATGTGTTGATGCTATGAATGTTTCTTCCTGTGATGATTATATCATCCACATATAGACTCACGATCAACACATCTCCTCCTTGCTTCATGATGTATAAGGCCGCATCGTTCATACTTCTCGCAAAACCGTTCTGAAGAAAGTTTGAATCTATCCTTCCATACCATGCCCTTGGGGCTTGCTTTAAACCATATAAAGCTTTGTGTAGCCTTAACACCTTGTGTTCCTTCTCGTGTGTC